TTTAAGTGAGAAGCCAGTGATCTAAGGAGGGGAGGGCCTGGCTGGGGCGGGGGGAGGAGGGAGGTATATATAGGCTATAACATCTTTGTCTTACTGTTCTATTTGGATGACTTGGGAATTTATCTTTTTGGCATTTAAAATGTTGTTACTTTTACTAACTGCAGAACCTAAATTTACAAATGGCATGGTCACATATTTATTATCCAGTTTAAGAGAAATAGTTTTGCTCTTATAAAACAAATTGAGACGCTTTCTGTCTTATTTGTAAGCTGTAACAAGAAAACATGGCATTAGAATATGAATCTCCTTGGGAAATGTGAAAGGACTTATCAGTAAAATATAGAAAAAAAGTGTTTAATTTTTTGATTGCTCTATAATTTTATTCTAAGTTTCTATAAAATTAAAAGAGATTTACATGGTACTTGTTAGCTTATTGAAATGGAAATTAAATTGTCATGAGTGAAATTTCTGGTTCCTGGTGCATTTGTTTCTCAAACATTCATTGAGCCTTTGCCCTCTGAAGGCCTGTGTTAGTAGTGGGGTGCCAGGGTAAGCCAGAGCTGCCCCTGCCCTTGGAATGAGGGCATCTAGGAGCAGTGGCAATATGAGGAAGGTGGGGAGATGGTTTCTAAGAACTAAAGACCTAGTCACAGAGCGGTGATGGTGGGACTCCAGGTGGAGTGCACATGGCCTGAGCCAAGATGGTTTGGAGGTTTTGGGGAACTTCAATATCCTCCTGTGGGGTTGGTTATACAGAGGCTAGGAGGTGACAGGGACTAGACTCTCAGATGCTATGTCTTAGAGCTAAGAGGAAATTTGGGGAAAGTCTGAATGTGTGCTCTGGATACTTCCTCCTACATGGTAGATAAAGATGGGAGAAATCTGTACCTGGCCAAGAATGGAAAGTGCTACTTCCTGTTGTCACAGTGCAGCTGCACACAAGGCTGGAACTGGGTGCTTTCTCCCCCTCATCTGCAAGGATTTCCCAAGGCATTAGGGAGATCTCCCATGAAGCCTAGAGTGTCTATATTGACACTCTTTTCCCTGACTTGGAGATACTCAGGGCGACCTCCAGGAGAACATTTTATTTAGGTTGCCATTAATGAGATTCAGATGACTCTAAACAAGGGTTAGATTTTTGGGGTGAGTTGAATGAAAGTAGTGGTTTAAATGGAAAAGCAACCAGACTGGAAAGAAGGCATTGGCTTTGAGTTCCAGTCCTTGGACTCAAGTTCTAGGAGCTTTGCACTGCATCCCACTGGGGAAGACTTCTGTACATACAAATGAAAAAGTATATCCTTATAGAGGAAAACACTGAATTTTATTTATGCAGCAGCATTTTGGCCAATTCTGTATTCCCCGTCCTCTTGAGCTGCACATTCAATGATACCAGAGTGGAGTTTTAAGTAATTTGATTTTAATGGGTATTGGTATAATTTTTTTCTTTCTTTTTGTCTCTATAAATTTATTTATTTATTTACATTTAAACACATATGTCTTTACAGTGTACATTTATTTTTTAGTGTGAATACATTGCATGTCAGTCAAAACAAATATATTACTTTATACATTATCATCAGCAAATAGTTTCTCATTTTTTTGTCAATTAAACATACTTTGACTTTTTCCCTTCTCCTTTCCACTCCCTCCCTTCTATACTAAACTTTTTTTCCCCACATTTTATTGACTCACAAAAGATCTTATACTAAAAACATGGACAAAGCTGAAATCTACTGATAAGTTCACTGTAATTTTCTTCTGAAACATTTTTTTCTCTCTCTCTATTCCCCCTTTTACTAAAGAGAGGTATAAACTAACTTATTTGCAAAAAAAAAAAAAATTAGGTTAGTCTCAATTTGGTCTGTTATTTGCACAAAGCTCCATAAAATTTCAATTTTTGATGGAAGGCAACAGATACTATTGTGTTATTGAACTTATGCAAATAAACATTCTGCCACAAAATAAGAATGCTCACAGATATTTTCCAATTTCAAAAGGGTCAGGAAGGGAGAAAAGCTTATGTTTCAATAAAAATATATATATATAAAAAATTGCTGAACCTATCAACAACTAATAAGAAAACCCAAATCCTTAAATCTGGAAGACAAAGCATAGAAGGAAATCAGTAATGTTTTAGAGAAAAGTCATAAAATTTTGTTTCACCAGTTCAGTCTCATGTAATCTCTTTTGTTGCATTTGCAGTGTTACTGTGGTCTGATCTTTCTGTTAAAATCCTGGAAGGTAACATTCAACATTATTATTGATATTTCCAAACTTGTCCCTATCATTAAGTTGGCTTTTTTTTTTTTCAAGAGATTTTTGATATAGGGCACATGAGCTCGCCAGAAAGACAGAAAGAGACAGAAAGCAAGAAATCACCCCCCAGGGGGGGATGGCCATGCCACAATCCCTTCTCCTCCATTCTCCTCTCAGGATCTTGGGCATGCA